AAATAGATCATAACTAAATTTATGCTATTTTTAAGCTAAAATTGTTACACGAACTCTACAGCTTAAGGGATAAATATAATTTGTATTGGAGGTCCTTGTGATCTTTTACATCTAAAATATTAATAAACTCTAGTTTCCAGACTTAACAAAAAAAAAAAATTAAGCAAAATTTAAACTTTATTTAATAGTAACTAACTTTTTTTTCTTTAAATATATATAAAAATTTAAGAAACTTTTTAAAATTTTAATAGTAAAATTAAAAAACTAACTTTATTAAAAATTTAATATCTTTGTCAGAATTAAAGATAAAACAATAAAATTAAATATATTATTAGTAATACAATTTCTTTGATTTTTACTTAATAAATAGAGGGGTAAAACTTAAATAAAATTTAAAAAAACTTTTTAAAAATTATTTTAGTGAGCAAATTTGCCCACTAGATGGTTTAAGGAATAGTTTAGCCCAGATATAAGTGTTTAAATAAAACTGTAATGATTACATAAACCAAAAATACAATAAAAGTAAGTAATGAAAAACTGTTACTAATAATAAATGCTAGATATAAAGGTACTAGATTTGAAAATAATATAATAGATAGAATTGGCTAAAAAGTTTAAATGAATAATCTTATAGGTTTCAGATACAAGCAACTAGCAGGCAAACTGCTTAAATTAGACACCAAAAGTGCACATATGACTAGTTGTACTCTCACTATAACAACCAATATGTAATATTGTATACAGTATGTGATATTAGCTGTTACTAGTTTGCTTTAATACTATTAAAAAATTCGGATTTTTGCATTGCAACACCACCTGTTTATTATATGTACGTATTATAAATGGGTCTTTGACCTTATAGAACTATGTGAATAATAATCCAATTCATTTTTATTTTGTAGAGCTCACTAAGCTCTATAAAATAAAAAAAGTTTATTTTAATTGGATTACTGAATAGCTAGAAATTTTAATTTTTATCATAAAATGAGTACCGATATTACATTTTCAGAAATGGACTTAAATTTAATAAATCTGGAATTTTTTGAAAAAAGCATATTCTGTATGCTGTATATATTTTTTTAAAATATATATAATATATACCGTACAATTTTATGGGACAATGTTACTAAAAACATACAAATATAATTTTTAGGATGAAAAAAAAATTAATTGATAATATTCATATTGTACAGTATGTCGTGTCCAAATCTTAAAAAGGACAATATACGGTTAGATTCTTACCCAGTACTTGAGCTTTTAATATGTAAATTTATATTTCGGTAAAATACATCACGTTTTATACAGCATAAACAATGACATATCCTTAAATTTCTGAGGATTCATATTATGAGAATCACACCACTATATACCCGTTTATTAAATACTTGACAATTATATCTTTTGATAATTGAAACCGAATTGAAAGAAATACAAAAAAAAATTTTTTTTTCTGAAGATTGATAATAAAAAGATTTAATGGAAAAAAAATTTGAAAAAAAAATCCAAAACAAAAACGGGGAAGTGGTGTGAACAAGTACCATAACGATGAACTCCTTTATAATAAGATAAAATCTATTTTGAATATATTGGCAAAATATTTGTATACCGAAAGCTCTTTGTAATAACGCAAAGTTATTTCGTTATTTTCGTTTTAACTTCACCTGAATGGTGCCCAAATTTTCACCGTCTGATCCACAGACCCTGTAGCCACAACAGGAGTTGTTTTATTAAATGCAATACACGTAACAAAATGAGCATGCGCTTCCAAAGTTTTCGTGCATCGACCAGTTTTCATATCCCATATCTTTAAAGTTTTGTCATCGGATGCGCTGAGAAGATATTTGCCGCTAGGGTGAAAAATTAAACCACGCACCCAATTATCATGACCCACCTAAAAATGAAACGAATCTTTTAGAATCGATAAATAAATTTAATATAATATATAAAAAATAACGTACCAATGTCTTTACACATTGGCCTGTCGAATCCCACACTTTGATCGTCTTATCTCTAGATCCCGTCACAATGTAATGACCGGGAAGTATTTGATCTTTGGAATTAGCTTTCGGCTAGAATAAATAAAATAAACGAACTTAATAAAGCAATGTGTTTAAATAAGATAAAATTTATAAAATAAACATACATCAACAACCAGCCCTATCATTTCTCGTATATGGGGAATTGCAGTAGCGGGTGCAAAAACTGAACATTCTACAACGTGATCGTGACCTCTAAATTCCATCTTGCATTCTCCAGTTGTAACATCCCAAAGACGTGCAGTCTTTATATAAAAGCGTCAGTTTTTGTAGCACTTACAATGTATATAAATTATGTACATACATATATACATATATATATATGTATATCAACAAACCTGATCATTTGAACTAGTAGTGATCCATTTTCCATCCTCACTTGGTGAAACCATTCGTACCCATTCTAAATGACCACTGTAAGTCTTTGTACAGTACCTTTTAAAGTGATAGATTTTATAAATTGAGCATTAAGGAATTCGATCAAAGAATAAATTAGTCGATACTGACCCTGATGATAATTCCCACAATTTAATGGTCTTGTCGCGCGAAGCAGATATAATGATATCACCAGATGGTAAGAATGCAACGGAAGAGACACTATGATCATGTCCATATAAAGTCTTGACACATTTATAATCGTTTTGCAAATCCCAAACTTTTATTGTCAAATCTGCAGAGCAAGAAACTAAACAAGGCAACTTCCAAATTTTAATAGAAATACGAATTAAGACAAGAAATAATATTAAATTGTAAAATAATGTATACCTAAAAAGTTGCCTTTAGGATCAAAGGCTATATCTTGGACTGACTTAGTGTGACCCTTGAGAGTACGTTCAAATTCACCAGTCTCATAGTCCCAAATTTTTATGGTGGTATCTTCCGATGCAGACGCTAATACGGAAAATACCGGATGAAATGAAACGCGCGTAACGGGATTTCTATGTCCTGTTAACGAATATTTTTCAGGAGCGCGCGGCACCCAATCATCCGGTTTGTTGACCTTTCTAAGAGGAGCATTATTAAGTTCTTCTTGCATTTGTGCGATCTTGCTTTCCAAGTCCATTATCTAATTTAAAAAAAAACAAGTTACTATAGCCAAAATATAAACCAAGATAAATTATGAAAAAGAAATAGATCAATTTAGATCAATTTCAGCATAGACTTTTTTTTTAACAAGATTTTAAAAAATAAAATTCAGATAAATACTTTTTTCTGTAATCGAATGACTGAGGTCCATTTTTTCTCTAGTAATCCAGAATATTTTTGTTTAGGATCCGGGTTGAAATCACTTTGATTTGCTTCTGATTTGAGAGAATTAAACGATTCTGTATATCCGTTGGCACATAGATAATCGAGGATGGCTTTGTGGCTAATGTATATCATTTATGATTAAGAAAGGGTTATTAAATATGAAATAATAAAGAATCCGGGCAAGATTGACAAAAAGAACAAGAGGCATGTAGAATACTAGTTATTTTTAGGAGTATTTGCAGTAAAGAGACCGCGATAAAAAACCTTAGAGCGGTCCTTGAGCACTTTATAGTCATTTAACAACTTTTACAAACGTAGAGATGTAAAAATCACCATATATTTATTTTTTTTTGGCCAAAGAAGGAATACTTACAGCTCGTCTCTCTGACGATCTGACAAAACCGTAGTAGCCATGACACGTATGTGAAGCGAGATGGCAAAAATTAATAATTTTTTTTTACAATATAAAGGTATGTGAGCCTGCGTAAGAAGGAAAAAAAGGCTTTGACTAAGATTTATCCAATATTCTCGGCGAGATATTATAAATAGATAATGATCACTGGCTACTACATACCTCAATCTTGATTTGACGAAAATTTCTGAACAACCGTCTGTGTCACCTTTGGGTGATACGAAACTTGCATATAAACATTAACACGAAAGTGTCACAGGCAGTGACACATGCAAAGGGTCATATTTAGAAAGTGCAACGAAGCTTGCCTGCGGACCGACGACCTGGTGGAATTCAGTATACAAAGACAATACGATGCTTGACATATGTTAAATCAGATAATGACCCTATTGTTAATATTTGAAAATGAATCGTGGCATCGGATAATTCGTTGCCAAAACTTATATGCGTGGATGCTACAGTTATATAACCCCATCCATTTTTATTTGTCTGAACGATGAACCCCATCGCTACTAAAATTACAAAATCTCAACTTTGAAATACCCCAAAATTTTGCCAGATAATTAAATAACGCCAACAATCTTCGGAAAAATGATTATTCTATATTTTTAATTTATTCACAATTTAGGCGTCATTGTTCTTTGTTTAATAATAGATTATAAAAAAACTGCCCGATGCGTTAGCGAACAGTGTATCGTCAGATTTCTGCGCCACGCATAACTCTTTTAATATTGACAATAATAGGTTCATAAAAAACCATTGTGCATTTATAACATTGCATATTGATCATGTGATTTGTCATCTGTATTAGATAAGCATGTGTTATAAATAAATACTCCTCACGTTTTATCCTCATGGATGTCACATCCCTTATTTGGGCATGCGTAAGCAAAATATGCAGTTGGTCTGAGTGGATCTAACCGGGAGAAAGAATATTAAATGTGGGGAACGCCTTAGATCTTCGCTTAGATGGAATATTTGTCATCTAGCATAACCGTGCCCGATTTAACCCATTAGTGCTGATGCTATAGCCGAAGCTCCATTCATCGGATTGTTACGTCATTCTCTACGATCGACATTTTCACCATACAGTGCAAGGCAGATATTTGTAGTTTCTGAAAATTGAAATTTACAATCAAGTAATGACAAGTGATAATATTATAAAATGATTAGTTGTATAAACTAGTAAGAGCTTTAATTATTAATCTTTCAGACAAATTTAATTAATGTTCACATTATTATAAACTAAATTTATTCTAAGCAAATAAATTAATTTTGATTCAGTTATTTTACTTAATAAATTGTCTTTTTTTCCTGAAAAACAAATACTGAATCAAGTCAAACCTTTCAATCAGATACTCTATAGATTAACAAAATAATAATAATAATAATAGTAATAATAGTATTTAATCTATTAGCTTTATAATCTTACCTATGACAATGCTTTCAAATATAATTTTTTATAAGTTTGATAGAAATCTTTGCAAATAAAATTATGCCTCTAGTAATAGTGTTAATTTGTATACAAATTAGTTGTGTACTTTTTACAAACATTACTTGTATATTTCAATTTTCATTTACTCTTGAGTCCAAATTGTTATGGATGATCAAGTAGGAATTGAGCTGCTCTATTGATATCATTGTCAGATAGAAGAAGTGCACGTGTTATAGTTTCCTGCGATTGTTGCGGAAACATCGATCGCAAATTATCTACATGCTCTTCATTTATAGTTGGTTGCTAAAAGATATGAAATCAATTGATTCGATATTAGCGTCTGATTATTAGTTATGCAACGATGGCTCTTTGAAGTAGACGTACCCGAATTACAGATGATGCAGGAGATGGAATTCTTCCTCTATCTTGTACTACATGCGCCCTTTGATCCAGTACTATTGCTGGTGAACGACGACGCGGCGTTGTCGATAATATAGGTAAAATAAATCTCGATGCAAATCGATTAATAAACTGGGGTAAACGCCACTCTTTCATATTTAGTAAATTACTTCGATATATTGCTCCTGCCAAAATCCCACACACCGCTGCAACGAGTGATGAAGGTGACTGAAAAGCTAAAAACTATATATTTTTGTGTTCATAATTAAAGGATATAATGTCACTATGCGTGGCATAAATCAATTAAAGATATTATTAGATATAATAATACGCGTCCCTTACCGGTAAAGCGGTCAGAAAGTATACGGATGCCTTGTTACTAATATTAATGCCAAGAAAAGTGTAGTGACTACTAGGTGGAATTATTTTATAAAACTGATAAAGTGCTGCAAATATGAAACCATAAGGCCCTGCAGGAATAAATGTCAATCCATATCTTTTGCCAACAGCAAGTGCACCAATTTCAAAGATCGTTGATAAAGCAGATGTCACTAAGAAGAATGCCTAGCAAAGATCAAAAAACTCGTTCGATAAGTACATACGAAACATTGAAAATCAAACGTACTAAAGATAACACTCACTGCATATTTTGACGACCCGAATTGCCGTTCGATCACCCTTAATTGATACATAACTAGACTTCCGAAAAAAAAATCACCTGAAGTCGTAGTGATACATTGTGATGTTATTAATCGCCAAAACTACAAATATGAAAGTGTGTACAAACGGATTGGTTAATCGTAAAATCTCTAAAAATAATTGTTTATATAATAAATATTTAACCGCACCTCATGTTGTGTCGTCAAACTTGGAATGAGTTGTAAATGAGCTAAAGATCTGCAATCAAGAGCATATGCAACTAACGAGCAGCCACCAACGCATAAAAGAAGGCCTTTTGTCACGGGTGCATTATCAAATCCTGTTACAAAAGAAGCTTAGTATAGCGTGGTATAAACATATTCTGAAAATACGAATCTTAAGTTTACCGGATTGTGTTCCAGCAGAAATGGATGTCATGATCTGGTTACCTTTGTGCAAAAGACTACCTAAAAACAAAATGATTATTTGTAAAACTTATGATCTTCGTAACACTAATATCATGATATTTTTTTACAGGGCAATCCCCGAAACTCCTGGTCGGAATGCATCGGCGTTAGGGTTAGTTAGCAGGAACGATTTCATTAGTAAAATTTTTAGTGATCTTGATCAAAAATTGGCCCATCCGACCAAATTTTTGGGGATTATAACCTCTATAAGTTCATGATGTTGCATAAATTAAGGTAATACTAATTTAAGTTATTAAATAAAATCGCGTTTATCGGTTTAATTTTAATTTCAATGTCTAACAACGACCTCAACGTTCATGTGCGACTTTTCCTTGTTGATATACAAAAGCGGTGTAAAAGAATTGAAAATACATATACATTTGGAATACCTGCGTTCAACTTTTTGAGAGTTAGGTTGATATTGACGCGATATTTTGAAATATTCGATTAATGACAACACTAATATAACATAATATAGAGTACACGGCCTGATAGTAAAAAGAAATTCGGAAACGATTATTATTGGTATATATCAATTTCTTTTTATTAACATCGCATTGTCTGTCGAATTTTCTACTCGCGAGACTGCGCGTTGAGTATCTAAATAATGCTATTTATTTTTATCAGATGACGCGACTGCAACTTGTCGTGTTAACCTAAGTTCTATTTTGCATAAGCGATTTGACATTGGTAAATTATCTCCTGGCACCCTGATAACGGTCACCGGCGAATTGAAGGAGACAGAGGGTCACCGTTGGATCGAATGCGAAGGGTATGTATATATTATTAAAGATCAATTCACCGTACCATTCGGTTACTAATAGCTTGCATATCGCTTAGATTCGATACCTACTATGAACCGCACAGTGAGCATATGTTGGCCTTGGAAACTATATCAATCTACAAAAATCATTATTTCAAAAATTGTTTTAAGAAAGAAAAATAGCATCTCCAGCCTAATACTGTAATAACCAATTAAAATGCTCAAATACCGCACGTGAAAGTTTTAGATTTAGATTTTTTTTCTTCTTTAACTAAAATAATAGTTAAACTTTGCAATTTCTTAAAAAGTTATTGATTTTTTATTAAAGAAAATTTTGATTACTTACTGTATATACCTGCATATCGACCATAAAATTACTGTATAAAGTTTTTATACAGTTACTGTATATGTTGTAAGTGGAAATGGAATCATAAAAGGTTCAGAATCCATCTAGATTAGAACGGAATAATTATACTAAAAATTCCAACCCTAACCTTAAAAATCCCGAATCAACTTAAATTCTGTACAAGTATACCTAAGGCCATACAAACTTATAGTTTCGGTTTTCATATCCCGGCCGGGTCAACAAAATAGAATTTCAAAATTTTTTTTT